TCCCGCCGGCTGGCGTAGGTGCCGTTGAGCTGGCGCTCGATGGAGAAGTGGTGGAAGCGCACGTCGTGCACCAGCGAGAGCACGTAGCCGCCCAGCGAGCGCAGGCACTGGCGCAGCAGGAAGAGGCCGTCGGCCATGCCCGCCAGCTTCAGGTGCTCCTCGGCCTCAGCGCGCGAGATGCTGCCGTAGAAGAAGGGCAGGTGCGCAGCGGGGTCCGGCATCGCCGCCGCTGCCCCGCGCCAACTGCGCGCCCTAGCGCCTCGCCAAACCCTGCGGGTGCAAGCGAGATCGGGCACGTCAGCGCCTCGGCTTTGCTTCCTGAGCTCCGTCCACGGGCCCGGATACAGTGGGAGAGAGGTCACCTCTTGGCGCGTCCGTGCCCACCGCGTGGAGCCCACTTCAACTTGGGCGAAAAATCAACTTGGAGAGGAGCCCCAGCCTGCTGGGCCCACACCAGGGAGTCCCCAAATCCGCCTCTGACTTTTTGGAGACCTTGTGCGGAGACCCAGACACCCCCACTGGCTCACACACACCTGGAATCACTCATTCATTCCCAGAACCTAAAATTATCTACCTTCAGCTTCCTGGGGTAATGACGCTGGACACTGGATTCCACAGGATTCTGAGAAGGTACCCTTAAGATTTGTTCATTTCATTGAATTTGGACCCCTCCGTAAAAAAGAACCATTAAATATTAAACCCTGGTTAGTGACCTGTGTGCAGAAGTTTTTAGGTGGGTACTATGACTGCCGTTTCCTTTGAAGGCCGTCCAAGCAATAACACGGACTGAGGGCTGGCGGGCTGGATGGTGCAGTCTTCTTCACAGCAGTTCTGTAGTCGGTGCAAACGGGGATGAGCAGGGGCTGAGCCGCTGCTGCAGGGAACATGCAGGGGTGGGCTCCTTCGAGCCTCTGGTCACATCTCCATTAGCCAAGCAGTACATGACCTTGTAAGACGCTTCCTATTGATTCATTAACATTGAATGCTAAGCCAATAGCACTACACCCGTAAGCTCATCTAACTTGCATTTTTCCGTAGGGTTCCTCACAGCCATCTTGCACCAAGGAACACTAGTCAGCATTTGGGGGCCAGTTAAAATGAAATCACCAACAAAGAGCACAAAAATGAGGCACCAAGTAGACCGTGAGGACACTTGCTTCCAGTGTGACAGCTAAAAGGGAAGGCAGAGTGTACCTGCTCCCGGTCAGCGGGAATGCGCTGATAATGTTGAAAAAACGGTCTCCCCACTGCAGTTCCTGCTCATTTCTCACTAAAGTGGGCCCAGCAAGGCCCCGAGGCATAGGCTGTGTTCAGGAACAGGGCCTGGGTGCCTTTCTTAGCGACACACATGTACGCAGTGGCACAAAGAAAGCTCTGTGGACTGAGAAAGGCTGCCCCCTCCGGGGGGTCCAGGGACATGGACGGGTGGGTACTGGGTCCGGGAGGAAAGTCAGTCAGCCCTCACGTAACGTCATTAACAGGTTCTCGGAGGCTGCACTTTAAGCGAGATGACGTACAAGGACCCAATTTGACCATAGGTTACTGGATATAAACAAGAGTTCATGTGGCGTATTTATGGTTCAAAAACGCCACCAAACTTCTAAATAAAGGCCCAATACTCCTCTAATAGTGAACGTTGACCCTGGCCAGGTAGGCCAGTTGGTTAGAGTATCACCCCGATTCACCCAGGTTGTGGGCTCAGCCCCCAGTCAAGGCACGTACCAGAAACAACCAATTAATGCATCTCTCTCCCTTCCTCCCCCTCTCTCTAAAATCAATGAATAAAAATTTAAAAAAACAACACTGAAATAACTGAGCTAGACATACATTTAAGAGAGGTGAGTAAAAACAAGTATGAGAGTTCCTTTCCAACCTGCTGATCCAGGTCAGGGTCATGGTGCTCAGAGCCCACACGGCAGCTCAGGTGCCAGGGACCCAGCCTGGACGGGGCGCCCTTGCACACTCACACACACACTCACTCAGCCTGGGACCCTGTAGACTCGCGGATTCCTCTCATGTGCTCATCTTGGGATGTGGAAGGAAACCCGAGTCCCTGGAGAAAACCCCTACAGACAGCAGCCCAGCTGAGAATCAAAAAATGTTTTTCTATACATTTTTTTCAATATTATAACGAAACCCAACATTGAACGAAAAACCACGTTATTGGAGGATCTGCCCTACTGAGATGGGAGTCGTTTCAGGAGAGGCCTGGGTCAGGACGACTGGGGGAGGGGCCAGAGGGACTTTCTAACCAGGTTGTTTCTGACACCAGGGTTGGGAGGGCCAGGTTGGAGGGGCGATGAGCCAGGGGCTGCAGACACAGCCGCCATTCCACCAGGGGGTTTAGCTGGAGCCACGAGAGCTCCTGGAGCCGACCTGGGGAAGTGGAAAGGTGCCTTTGCACGAAACCTGCTCGTAATTGCCAGAATCAGAAGCCGCTCGCATGTTCTCGGCAAGCGAGCAGAGAAACAGTGGAGCGTCTCTACACTGGGATACCACTCAGCCATCCAACGGAACCGAATGCTGATACACCCAGCAACAGGAATGAACCTCAAAGGCCCACGCCCAGTGAGGAAGCCGGGCCTCAAATGGCTACTGTCCGATTCCATTCAAAGCTGGGTCCTTGGAGAACACCAGAGGCTGGGGCGGGAGTAGGACTGACTACAAACGGGCATGCGGGGATTTCTCGGTTGAGATGGTAGTTTCTCAGCTCTATGCACTTGTCAGATCCACAGAATTTCTCACTAGAGTGAGTGGATTACTGTATGTAATTTATAACTTAATTTTTTAATTAAAGGGGGATAGAAGAGCTGGGAGGTACAGACACGCCAGGCACTAAATAACTGAAACAGGAAGCAGAGAGCTCCCCTTTTGACTCCGACCCTCTCCCCCAGCCTCAGGTTTGCCACCCCCCCCAAAAAAAAGCTGGCCTCCGGGAGCACTGCTGTCACCACTGGAGGGCGCCAGGCAAACAGTTATGCCTCCTGGACACTGGGCCCTGAGTATGGGCACTAGCGACTCGTCCTGCTGACGTCATGGCTCTCTTGGGCTCTCGATGACTCTCTGGCTTGCCTCCTCCCTCTCTGATGGTTTCTCCTTTCTCCCCTTCGCAGCCCTGGTCCCCTTACTTGGGCCATCTTGTCTGTGGCTAACCACGCGGCCACACCCACCTGCCCAGTCCAGATCTCTCTGCTGAGTTGGTTTGTGCTGCCAGCACCTCCTTTGATCTCTACCTGCTGTTTCTATTAATAAAACTGAGATCCACATCTAACTCACACGGTGCCTGTGGTTGGTTGGGCCCCACAGTCTGTTTCCCACATGAACTGAGCAAGTCGCTTTTAGGCTATTCCTTCCCAAGGCCTCCCTCGCTCAAGAACCAGCTGCGGCTCCCTCCTGCCTACTTCACTGACTAACTAAGCCCCTCAGCCCGCCCTCTGCTCCAGCCGGGCTGCGCTGGTCGCCTTCCTTCAAGTTCACGTCCATACTTGCACCTGTGCGGTGCCCTCTGCTGGGTCCACCTCCCCCCTCCTCTCCACCTCCCAACCCAGCCAGCCCTGCCTCACAGCCTCCTGCAGCTGCTCCCATGGAGTCAGGGGCACAGGACAGGGCAGCGAGGTGGGGGCCGTCCGGGATGGTGAGGAGGGTGGGGGTAGTGGATCTTGTCTCTGGGCAGGAAGCTGTGGTAGGAAACTGTCGGCAACACAGTTAAGAAGCGCCCAGAGCGCCGCGGCCGCAGGTGCAGCCTGGGTAGCCAAAGGGGGTTCCTGCAGAAGCCGGGGAGCGGAGAGGCTGGCCCGGGGGCTCAGTCCAGGGCCATGAGCCATGACTGGCTTCGGAGGCGCTGGGGCAGCACGTGGCCTCCGTGTGCCCGGTTCTCGGGCAGCGGGACCAGATGCGTCTGTCCTGAGCGTGTCCCGCAGGCTCCATGGCTTACCCGGGAGGACCCACCCTAGTCCTGCCTGGGCTGGCCCCGCCCGCCTCCCCTTGAGCATGTGAGCTCCCTGTGGGTTCAGAGGGCCTAACGTTGCCTTCCCAGAGTGCACAGCTCCACCCGCCAGGCCGTGCGGTGAGGAGGAAACCTTTGACCCTTGGCACACAGATCTGCCTGAGGTTCCTCCACTCAAGCATCCTTGAGGCAAAGGCAGGTTCAGTGACATCTGCTCCAGGGACACCTGACCCCCCCCCCCCC